ACTTCTCTCATTTTTCTTATTTATATATATATATATATTTCTTCATTTTATATTTATATATATATATAGATATATTTATATGCACGCGCCCTTCGACTGCTCGCGTCTCTCTTTACGCCACGATACTAGATTTTTGGATCGATTTTTTCGCCTTCTCCTTTTTTTTTCTTTTTCCTTTCTCTTTATCCTCGCCGATAGTCTCGTCTCTTTTCTCTCCTCGAATCGTAAGGCATAAACGAATTTTCTCCTTTCTTTCGGATCGTCCTCGCCCTTCCATCTTTCCCCGAATCTAAGTAAGTAAACGAACTCTCATACTATTTCCACTTTCTCGTGTCTGCCGCAATGTCCTCGCTTCTTATCCCGTCATCGTCCTCGTTTAACATCGTCCCCTCGTTTTTTCCATTTCCTCCCCCCCCCTATCAATTTCTACATACGCATACATACGTTCTTCCTCACTTCGGTCGATCAACCCGACTTTTTTCTCGATCTCGATAAACCGATTCGTTGTTTCGAGATCGCAAATCTCCTCCACAGAGAATCTTCCATTTCCAAGATCAATCTCCGTATCCACAGTGCCGATCTCTCGAATTCGAATCTTCCATCGCATCGCACAACGCTCGAAACGCTCAAATCATGTCCCCTCCCCCCTTCGAAATTTCCCCCGTCCAAAATCGAGCTCGTCGATTTTTCAGCCTCGATTTCGATCGGTCGAGGCTCGAAGGACGGCGATGCCGGGGGAGGAGGGGGAGGATGCGTGTGGCGTCTCGAGTGTCTCGTCGCCATTCGTCGTGACACGCGGTGAACGGCGGTGGCGACGACGACAGGCCGATTCGTATCTCGGATCTCGATTCTCGACAAGAACAAGAACAACAACACGACGAAGACGACTACGACGACAACGACGACGACGCTGAACCTTTCGTTCCTTCCTCTCGCTTCTCCGATAACGCGTCAGATCTTGCTCGTTCCCTTCTTCTTTCGTGGTGTCGTAGGGGCTGAGAGGCGGATGCGGCCCTGGCGGCGCACGATGCACCGCCCTCCTTACCGACCGCTTCGAGGAGTGTTAGGTAGGCTTATTGGAGGTCGCATTTACCATCGAGCACTTGCGCTTTGATCTCTTGTATATGCGTGTCTAACGCGTTCTTGATTTCTGAAAACGAACAGACACAACACGTGTGTATATATTAATCGTAGATTATTATGAAGTTGTTAATATGTATACATGTATTCGCGAGGAGACGCCACTTTTGGACGATCGATTCTAACCTCTAAAACCTTTTGCTCGGACACAGAAATATAATTTTAAAGGGCAAATGCGAAGAGTGAAAATCGGGTAGATTCGTTTATTTCGACGTTTTACGTAACGAAGGATAGACGGCAAGGATATTTTTCTACATTTTCTCGATTTCCAAAAGTGTCGCGCGAATGTATACATATATCATCAACTTGTATACGTTTTATTCGATCGCGGGTACGTACGTGTTCCAGTTTAGTTTACGAAACAATGGGAAATCGCAAATGAACGGTCGGAAGTTGGCTTGCAGTTTTTTTTTTTTTTTTTCAAACTCTTTCAATTACGCAACGCCGATTTCACCATGAGAATCGACCGGGATTGTGCAGCATTTGCCCAATAGAGGCGGGGCGGCGTTGTTTAATTTCTAACCGACGCTCGTTAACCCGTTCATCGATCATCCCTTGTGCGCCAATTTAATTCGTCGCGTTAACTCGTATCACGCGTATCCATTACCGACCCTTAACATGAGAAAATTTGTTCCCGACGTTCCTCGTCGTTCCCCCATTTTACCATTATTCGCGAAACGCACATTTTTCGAACACGAATTGTACACGTACTTGTAATCTCGTCCTCTTCTTCCGCCTCGGCTTCCGCGGCCAATTCCTCTGGCGTCTTTTTCTTGCGCATCAAAGGATTCGGCTCCTCTTGAGTCATCTCTTGCACCTCTTCCCGCTTCTTTATGTTATACTGCAATGGAGAAAAAAAACCGAGAAGCGAATGAATAAAAGAAAGAAGATTTCGTCACAAGTTTACACAAGATTCTACGCAGTAAGTTGACGATTTTCTTTTCGTTCAAAAGCGGGGGTGGGATATATCACGAGTGGTCTCGTTGCATTTATTTTTCGTTCAATCGTCGTTTTTTTAAATCGTTTCAATCCCATCCCACGAAACAGAAGGAATGTTTGTGCGCGCGTGTGTGTGTGTGGACGAGCGTTTACGAATGTTTGTCGTGCGCTCGTCATTGTCCCCGCACGAGGCGGGTTTTTTTTTTTCGATAAGAGGCCGATATCTCTCGGGGCGGCAAAGCTCGCCAAGTTTTCCCGATCGAAGTTGTGGGTTGAAGACACTCGACGGCGAGTATTTCCAAACTTGCCTCTAACAAGAAAGTTACGAACGTGACGAAGTAACCGAGACCGACGTCCTCTTTCTCTTTAGGCTTTGACCGTCGAAAACCGGCTCAAAGGAGGCGTGCGTTATTCTCGAGCCCGTGCCTCGAGCTTAATCAACGACAAGGACCGCGAAAATTTAAGTAACGCTGAAACTTGTACCCGAGGCGAGCCAACCGGATCTATATGCATAAACCTATCAAAGGGGGATTCTCTTTGGCCCAGTCTGCAAAAATTACTTACAGCGCGTTCCCTTCTCTAGAACAAACATTCTAAACATCGATATTCAATCTGTTCTCAAAAATCTCCTTTCTTAAAAATAACTGTGTTCTACTTCTTTAACTCTTTGAACGTTCATCATTTTGGCCTTAGTTTTTTCTTCGCTCGTCTATCTTTTTAATACCTTATACTTATAATCCATCTTAGGAGAAAAAGAAAACGCGAGATCTAAAGAGATGGCATCGTTTACTTGGGAACAGGCGGGAGGAATCGTTTTCGGACAATCGGCTTAAAAGGCAAACAGTCAATCGCGTCTATCACATCGCCTATTAGCCGGCCTCCCTCGGTAATCGCATTAGCCCGACGATTTCAATTTCGGTATCATCGAACGTATCGCCTCCATGATTTCCAGGATCGGAGACCGGCGCACGTAACACGTAGGGGGCCACACTGTTCCCCCTATTTACACTAGATTGTCTAGTTGCATCGAACCGCAATGACGTTGGCCGGGCTCGGCCCCCCTCCTCTCTCTCTCTTTGCACCGTTCTCTCGCTCGGCTCACTCTTGTCCACGGACAATGAGCCCGATTGCGGTGCGAGCCGGACGACACGTGATCGGCACGAGTGCTCGCTTCCCTCCATCGCGCCATTGTAAACCGTAGTGCACGCGTATTGCGGCTGTATCTGCAAACGCTATAAATTCTCCTCCTCTGCTGGTCCAACGTTGCGCCGTTTCCCTTTTTGCCATCGGTCTTTCATTCGTTTCCTCTCTCTCTCGCGCGGTATATCGTTCTTTTGTCCCCTCGCGTCTTTCATTCCACGTCGTATCTTTGTCACCAAGGATTGTGAAAAACCTGCTGCTCCGATTCACTCCTGCCCCTTTCTCCGTTCGTTGTTTTTGAATTTTCTCTTCTTTTTTTTTTTTTTACATAGAATTGGTAAGAGAGGGGCACGAGCGATGCTACGAGAGACAAATATCCGAAATTCCGCTACCAGTTTTCATGCATCTTGGCTTAGAAAAATTGGGGAAAGAAACGAATTAATCTAATCATGAGACGCAAAGGACAGTTACGATACTTTAGAATTTTTAAAGATGTATTGTCCACTTGTGGAAAGATGCGATTCGAATCATAGAAGAAGTGACAACAAAGCGTGTTGCATGAGCGGCGGAATTTGTTTAGGAATAGCAGGGAGAATCGATTGATTTCGTACAATTATTTCAGGAATGATTCCCGTGGCGCATTGACTGATAAATCTATTCTTCTTGTTTTTCCATTCCATTAGCGGCGCGCACATTCGTGATGGGTGGCGGGTCGTGAACCAGCGTGAAGGAGACAGATAACTCGCGAGGAGGATAAACGGTGCTCGCAATCATGTCAAATGTGATCGTGACGTTAATTAATGCCTCTCGACACGCGCAACAAACGCATTACGACCGTCTACATACGTACACACATTTCCGAGCTTTCTCGGCTCGCGTGGAATCCCTCGGTTAGTTCGTCTTTTAATTATCGGCTCTCTTCCTTCCTCTCTCAGTTCAAATTTCAGAGGTTGGCCAATTCTCGCGAGTGCGCCGCTTTGCATAATTGCGACGCACCCGCGCGCGAATCGCGCGCAGAGAGATCTTGAAACCCGTGGGTTCTTTCGCGACGGGTGCGTTCCCTCGATTCGCCGCGCGGGCTCGGCTGCAGACGCGTCGCATCCGCATTGCGACATTTTTGCTTGCACTCGTTTGGCAACCCTCCCTCCCCCCCCCCTGTTTTTTAATTCCCGCCCGTTGAGAGATTTCGAGCGTGCGAAAAATTTCTTGGTCGAGAATCGAGAAATTGAGAACGGGAAAGGGGCAGGAATAATTCTGCTCACGATTCTTTCTCTCTCCCTCTCTTATCCCGTTTTTCGCCCGTTTCTTCCGTCTTCGAGGGATTTTAATGCGCGAGGGCGAGAATTATTCTCGAAGCTTCTCGAGGCATCGTCGTTTCTCCAAACAATTAACGTTTGTTGATCTCGAGCGAGATCCTCCTTACACCTTTGGATGGGACGATCGGTCTTTTGAAAAGGGTTTTTCTCTGAAAAACGTGATATTGAAAAAAACGACGTCTAAATTCGTGTATTGACGCGTCTTGCCACAGAAACTTTGCGAGCGGATGTCGCCCTTGTTACGAAATTAGTATTCGCGCACAGTTTCTCTGTCTCTCGCAATCAGTCTAATTGTCACATGACGATGGATGCGAGCGTCCAGGCTGGCCGCGTAGCGAATCCGCGGCTATTTGTAAATTGTTCGTTGCACGGTTCGTCCGCCCCAGGGGAGGCGCGGCGAGCCTCCTGGCCTGCGTATTTGCCAACACCAAGAGATCGAAATCTGCCCAATTCTCGTTACGGATAGAAAATGTATTTTTTTGGTTTTTTCTTGATTAATTAAAAAAAAAAAAAAAAAAGCGAAAATTGCGATCTCCTCGTCGCGGCAACTCGATCTCGTTTCGAAAAAAAAGGAATTTGGAGCGCGATGACGCCGCGCAATGTTGTTCAATGTCGGGCGATTGGTCATCGATTCGCGTGTTCGATTTCAATTTCTGCCGAATCGAGGCTTTTACTTTTACTCAACGATCAGCGAATATTTCTCGCCGCGTCCTTTTTTTGGACGAGATTGAGAGGGAAAAGAAAAAAAAGAAGAGAAAGGGGACGATAGAGCCGTTAACGCCGTTTCTTTGTCTCTGTTCTTTAAAGCGAGGGAACGCTTTAATTTTTCCATCTTTCCGATAAACACACGTTGGGAAACGAGACCGATTCTTGCGTTATATTCGATTAATCAGTATGTTGTAATTAATGGAATTTAATTAAATTTGACGTACCAATTACGTAAATTAATTTTCTAATTGGCCGTACGTGTCTGCGACTGTGGCTGTATTATAAAATCCGTAATTTCGTGGCGCTCTTTGTAGAAAGAGCGCGAATTTTATTGCCCCTCGTGTACCTTTATTGCGTATATTATTGCGTAGAAATCGGGAGAACGAGATGTTATTAACAAACGCTCGTTTTCCCTTTGTCCGCCAAATTATCGCTACGTAACGTCGTACATATAACGTCGTTATATGTACGGCACACAGTGGTAGAGAAATATATATAACCAGAGAGAGAAGTTCCTTGTTTCTTTACATCCGTACGAAAGTAAGATGCGTAAGAACCGTAATTTCCGTATCCGGATGGATACGATTCGCGTCCATTTTTGACAAATCGAGGGAACATTTTGATTTTTCTTCTCGTCGCTCGCAAAAAAATGAAATCTCGCGTGAAACGGAGTTGTCGTTGATTTCGATAACGCGATTATTATTTAAACTGGTAAAAAACTGGTAAACGGGAGATTTCGATGTGAATAAGAAAAAAAACGAAACCCTTTCACGGTATTTTAATTAAGAGAAATTAATCAATTTACATGCTCTGGCCACGCTGGTATCAAAAGCCGCGCGACGAAAATTGCGATCTCCTCGTCGCGGCAACTCGATCTCGTTTCGAAAAAAAAGGAATTTGGAGCGCGATGACGCCGCGCAATGTTGTTCAATGTCGGGCGATTGGTCATCGATTCGCGTGTTCGATTTCAATTTCTGCCGAATCGAGGCTTTTACTTTTACTCAACGATCAGCGAATATTTCTCGCCGCGTCCTTTTTTTGGACGAGATTGAGAGGGAAAAGAAAAAAAAGAAGAGAAAGGGGACGATAGAGCCGTTAACGCCGTTTCTTTGTCTCTGTTCTTTAAAGCGAGGGAACGCTTTAATTTTTCCATCTTTCCGATAAACACACGTTGGGAAACGAGACCGATTCTTGCGTTATATTCGATTAATCAGTATGTTGTAATTAATGGAATTTAATTAAATTTGACGTACCAATTACGTAAATTAATTTTCTAATTGGCCGTACGTGTCTGCGACTGTGGCTGTATTATAAAATCCGTAATTTCGTGGCGCTCTTTGTAGAAAGAGCGCGAATTTTATTGCCCCTCGTGTACCTTTATTGCGTATATTATTGCGTAGAAATCGGGAGAACGAGATGTTATTAACAAACGCTCGTTTTCCCTTTGTCCGCCAAATTATCGCTACGTAACGTCGTACATATAACGTCGTTATATGTACGGCACACAGTGGTAGAGAAATATATATAACCAGAGAGAGAAGTTCCTTGTTTCTTTACATCCGTACGAAAGTAAGATGCGTAAGAACCGTAATTTCCGTATCCGGATGGATACGATTCGCGTCCATTTTTGACAAATCGAGGGAACATTTTGATTTTTCTTCTCGTCGCTCGCAAAAAAATGAAATCTCGCGTGAAACGGAGTTGTCGTTGATTTCGATAACGCGATTATTATTTAAAC